CACGTTCCAGTGGATGGCGCCCGAGGTCATTCTTGGCACCGAGTATACGGTGGCCGCCGACATTTACTCGTTTGGTACGCTCGGATATTGTCGGATTTTTGTCGGATTTGTCGGATTTTCAAAAAATTTGTAGGTGTCATCTTGTCCGAAATGAGTACGCACGAGGTTCCCTACAGCGACGCGCTCAATGCGTCGTCCGGCCGAGCGCTGAGTCAGCAAGCCATTTTGTCCAAAGTCACATCCGGTGCACTGCGACCCACGTTTGCGGCGGCGGCACCACAATGGCTGCTGGAGGTCGGCACGCGATGCTTGTTGCTCGACCCGACGCAGCGACCGACGACGCTCGAGCTGACCGTGCTGGTCCGCAACTTTGTCCTAGCTGTCGCCGAGCACGATAGGTGCGAGTGATGAGTAGTGTAATTTGACGCGATTATGATTTATTCGACCACGATAGCAGCAACTTTTGCATGAAGACGACTTGGGCATCCTTGGATTTCAACATCACAGTAGCTCTTACACTGCAAGACTCATATCAACAACAATAGCAATAGCATTCCAACATCACAGTAGCTCTTACACTGCAAGACTCATATCAACAACAATAGCTCGTACACTGACTGAGCCATGGCACCATCAACGTCGGCAAAAGAGCGGTCGCACGCAATGATCGTCCATCATCGCGCACCCACAGTGGTGTCTCGCCGACTCGAACGCTGGTCGCAGCTCCCCTGTCGTCTCCTTGGCGACGATAGCCTATTGTGTGTAGGCGCGGCACGGCGTGTGTACTCAACTCGGACAAGTTGACGCCTACATCGTCATCACAATGGATCCGTGAGCCCCAACCCTAATCGGTTTAGATGTTACCAAACGCGGAAATGTAGGCGGCAATTGTATCGTCAGTGCTTAGAATGACTCGAGGGGTCATCCACTGGTACACGTACCCATGCTCTTGGTCCTGTTGGCGTCGACCGCTTTGCTGAAATCCGTGAGCTTGGTCCCCTTCTTGGAATCCACGAGACTTGAGGTCGCGGACGATTTTGTCATGAGATACTACAATGTAGTTGCAGAGATCGCCAAGGTCTGTGTACTTGACGATGACTTTAATTTCGATTGGCCGGCTGCCACTGAGCGCGACAATGACATTATTGTCCATCCTCGTCCACAGTGTATAAGACAATACTGTCATCATCGAATAGCTAGAACGTACTTATGCCATGAAAGTGATTTTGTTGATAAAACACGGACGCTCTCGACACGGCGGTTCGCTGGACCGCGACCTTGTGTCGTTGCCGTGAACCAAGCAGCAGGTTTCCTGAACCAACTATTATTGTAGTCGTCCATCAGGGCTTACATCTTGGTCTAAATACAGTAGTGGTGTGCTATACCTGTCCGCGGACCGACGTCGCCAACCACCCCACCCGTGGGCATGTACCGGTAGTTTTCAACCAGCTTAGTGGGCTCTCCAGTTGCCACGTTCTTTCACGTAATTGGCCCAAAATCAATTCATTTCCACCAATCACACGCACGGCCACATCCTCGTATCCGTATGGTTGGGTATCCGGAATCCATGCCACCAACGCGGACGTCGTCGGCGATCGCCGGCCGCGAAGGCGCTCGCATCGTCTCGACGGGCGCCATATGGGGCTACGTCATCGTGGGTCTCTCGTTTGCCTTCTTTATGACCTTCTTGTACGTCTACCTTGCTCCGTCATGGACCTCATGCCGGCGAACGCAGATACCTCATCGTCGTCGCCAAGCTCCTGCCACCGTCCGACGACCCGGCGCGCTTTCCCATGATGGAGACGATTCGCCAGGACCACTTTTACTGCTACCTCATTCCGCTCACGATTCCCGCGGGCTTCATCGCCATGTACATCAACTGGGTCAGCCTCAAGTACTTCCGACACAACTAGGATCTCGATGACGTGCCATCACGTCGCAGTACTACTACTCGTATGGCCGACAAACGTGGCATTCTGGATCAGGTTCTTCTCCTTGGCCTTGCGGAGGAGGAAGCGTAGGAACGCGGCTTGGCGTGGGCAACGCTTGATCGACGCCAGCTACAGGGTGACAGCACGTGAGCGCCCGCCGGCGAGGCAGCAGCACATACCGAGAGTGTCGCTGTCTTGGCCGCGGCCGCCTGCGCGACCTTGACGTACTTGTTGAACTTGGCGCTGTGCTCGGGGTACGCTTCGGCGTGCGGCCCAATCTCGAAATTGAAGAGGTTGAAGCCGACGACGACGCGGGCTGTCTCCGAGGGCAGTGCCGTGACGGGGATGCTGCCGTGAGGAAAGTTGCCGTCCATGACGATCCCGCGCTTGTACTTGTACGGCACAACGACGTAGGACGCATCGGTCGTCATCTACCAACGCATATATGATTGACATGTCCATCTCGCATCTCGCATCGGGATGGCTACCTCTGCCACCGACGGCAGTGGCGCCAACGACTCTTTGTACCCATGCTCCTACATAGCTCTACTACGGTGGCTCGGCCATCGGCGAAGAGTACCTTGTAGTGGTCGAGGCCGCGCGTGTTGGCGTAAAACGCGCCGCCCTCCATGTGCGACTCGGGCGTCTCGTTGAGCCGGCTCACATGCAGCGTCGCGCCGTATATGGGCGGGTACGTCACGTTGGTCTGGTAGCTACGACAAGACAATGTCGTCCATCGTGTGCCATACTACAATATTGTCTTTGTCTTCGCGTACCGAAACATCTCTGCATAGTCCATGTGGTAGGCGACCGTGTCGCTCACCGTCGACGTGATGACCCAGACGACGACGCCGTGCGTGTTGGCCCAGTCGGCCGCCGGAATGCTCGCCTAGGACACGCTCGAGGGACGGCAGCGAGAGGTGCTACTACTACCTCGGCGTTGAGGAGGAACGCGCGGATCGTGCACAACGCCAACGTATGGCGCGCATGGTCGTCCTTGGTGGCTGGGTACGCCTCGAGCGACCGGTCGAAAATATCGCTGGTTCGGATGTAGACGCCCCACACCTTGGCAGCGACCGCGCTCTCGTACAGCGCGGCCGCGACCGCGTCGGGCACGGCGTTCTCGACGACGCGAAAGAGGCCCGGCGACGACTTGGGCTGGTCCACGACCATTTTGCCTACGCATCGTCAGCCTCGGGCGTCGACCGTTGCAAGTGGCGCACCTGGCGCCGGCGCGGCGTCGGTGGCTGCCGCGCCCGACGGGCGAAAGCCATCGTCCCAAGCGACAACGTGGGGGTTGGTCGCGACCCATGCCGGCAGCGACGTCTCGGTCATTGTCGTCTCTACTACCGGTACTGAGAAAGTGAAGATCCGTGGCCTAACCGGATGTCAAGGGTGTCCGGATACGACGACGCCAGGGCGATGCTGGCGAGTTGCACAAAGAGACGGCGCAACCTCGCCAACAGTAGCACGTATCCACGTCGTGGCAGGCGCCGAATCTTGCCGGCGTCGGCGGCTGCACGCTGGCGCCGCACTCTGTCGTCGACGAAACCACCAGCGCCAAGCGGCCAGAAAGGACAGCGTGCGTTGGTTCGTCTACCTCGCCGAGCGTTTGATGCACTATATGGCTTCCGTGGTGTTCGTTACGGCTGCATGGCAATGGCACCGGTACAGTATGCTTAAAGGCTTTAAGCATACCAAGAACGCTTGAAGCTAAAGCGTTCTTGGGTGCTTTCGAGTGTCGTCGTGGTGGCTATGTCGGTTCCAGTGCGCTCGCTGCAGCCGCCGCATGCAGCGTGAGACGCGTCTTCGACATGTGGTCGCCACGGCAAGACTAGAATGCAGCCGTCAAACGAGCTGCGCCCAGCGTCGTGATGCCCTTGCCTCCTCCTTCCATGTGCAAAGTCATGACGTGGCAGACACAAATTGCAGCATGGCATGCAATCTCATTGATCGTCCTCGTCGCACGGTGGCGATTCCTTCTGCATGTGAGCCATGTTGCATGTGGCATTATAGAAAAGTGTCTACCACTCGCGATTCGCGATGAGCGACTCGATATCAAACTGCAGGAAGCCGTACGCTTCCGCAATGACCCCAATGTCGTTGGCGATGCACTCGCGCGCAACCGTGTCGATCATCGATCCTTGCTCGTTGAGCTCGTCTTCCAGCGCGTTGAAGCCCGCGGTCGTCGCATGCGTGAGCCGCTCGAGCCCGTCGAGCGTGAGCGGCTTGGCGTCTTCGATCGCTGCGCAGAGCTCTCGCAGCAAGGTCCGACCCTTCTCGATCGAGCTCGCCGGGTAGAAGGCGCCGCCGCGGAGCTCGGCGAGGAAGTCGTACGTCGCCATCTTGGCGTTGGAGATTACCATGTTTCGAATAGATTGCAAGTGGGCAGCTGGCGGCCTTCTGCTACGTCGTATGCCGAAAATAAAATGCCACCGCCGTGAGCTGGGACACGCACGCCCATGACGTGGGCATGCCACGCTCGTCGGCATTGTCTAATTCCCTACGGCAAAACGAGTCGTGGTGTGCAGTTTCTGCAAGGACGTCCAGCGATGGCACGACAACAAGGCTTCGGCCCCCGACCCTTCCGCGTGGATTTCAAGCCTTTAAATGTGGCACGTGCCGAATTTAGTTGTCGGCCCCACCTGGTCGAAATTTGTCCTTTCTGTGTTGCTGGTTTGTCCGGTCACGGAGCGCGATGACAGGGATCCCTTGCCGCGTGTGCCACTACTTCAACCTGCCCATCATGAACAAGTGCGTCATGTGCAAGGCGTCCATGCCGCCCGATAGCGAGAAGGTGCAGATCCTCTTCGAGCAGGTCCAGCGGCTCGAGACGCAGCTCGCCGCGTACGTCAACGCCGAGGTCGGCCCACCCAGCCTCGAGCCGCCGCCGCCGAGCGAGAAGCCGCCGCCCAAGGCGCGCATGGTCTTTTACAACAAGCGCGACCAGTACTTTCGCGACCCGCATCTCATGGCCCAGCGCCTCGATGCGACGCGCAGCCATGCGCCGCTGCCATTCCCAAACCCAGCGACAACTCTCGTGCGTGTGGTGCTGTCGGGCCAAGCACACGACG